AGCAGAGAGAGTATTGAGAATATACCAGGTTACTTACTTACTTACTTACTTACTTACTTAAAACACAGATACAAGGTGAACCTTGAGAACTGTGCACATCCCTAATAGTAAACTACAAATAAGATATTGAGGGAATTTAACTAAGTTGAACAGAGAGGCAGGCAAATACTATTACTAAATAGAAATAAATTCAGGGGTCACCACACCTGTTTTCATTGTGGGGGCATAGGATACAATCCTATGTACACTTACTTGGAAGTACGCCTTATTGAACTCAATTGGCGTTACTTCTGAATGCACTATACGGTTGTAGTATCAGACTTGCAACAGCTGAACAATAGTAAAGAAACAAGTACTTCTGAACATGTGCATATATATGTTCTTACAACCACTGAGTCATCACAGGCAGTCCAGTCTCCATGTAATATTAGCTAGAAGACTGCCAAGTTCAACGGCAGAAGTTTTTAACTGGGTAAAACAATTAATATTTATTAATATTAACAATTAATATTAATATGTATTCCTCAAAGTCTAAGTTCAGTGGGGATTACTTCTGAGTAAATATTGCCATGTAGGTTTTGCAGCTTTAGTAACTCCCCAACTCCATCCCTATTCTGATATCTTATTAGAAGGGTAATTGAGGACAGTTGATTGAAGACTACTGCTCAGCTAAGATTCAGTAAGAATAATATGGAAAAAAGCAGCCAATTATTATAAGTCTGTGGTACAAATCAATAGCTCATGCTCATCTGGAACATTATGTTCAGACCAGTGATCTCATCTCTTAAAAAGGAAAAGGGAAGAAATGAAATTCAGAAGAGGAGAACAAAGGTAAGATTGTTTACCCCAGCAAGGAGACTGTATACATAGGTAAAGTGAATATGCTGTTCTCTCTACTTGAAATAGAAGAACCAGGAATGTGTCATGCCTTCAACAATAAGAAAGTATTGTATTCTTAACCATTTTGTAAGCCCAGATGGGCTGGAATCCAAAGGGACACATGTGGTGTACGATGCACTCCTATCCTCATTAATTAATATAAATTTATACCTTTATAATACCAATTTATATCACAATATATTCCAAAAATGGATCACTTTTCTATAAGCCTTTTGTTTCTTGCCTGCTATCAGGAGCAGGAGCTGACCAGGGGCAGCTCAGCAATAAAACACCCGGTGTCAGTGAAGTTAACCCTTTATTCAGAGAAACCAAAACAGCACAGACCTAGTGATGGCAGCAACTCTTTCCAGTAGGTCTTGCTCAAATGAGGCAGTTGTGAGGACTGAAGATCCCCAGCTTCCCGCTCTCTAAGGTTCTTCCCCTGGTTCCTTCCCCAGCAGCCTAAGACTCCATCGTCTTGTTTCTCTTTGCTCCGCCCTCTTCATTTATCTTTGTCTTCTTGGAGACCAGGCAGGAGGGGAGCTGGTCACAGCAAGAGAGGCAGACTCCCTGGCTTCTTCAGCAGGCTGACTCATCTCCTGCTCCTGAGTCTGGACTACTCTCTAGCCTTTTTCCTTTCCTTTCCCCCATGTTTTGAGTTCATTAAAAAAAATGAGAATCCAGTATGTATGCCCTAGTTCCTTAGAGGAAGGGGAAAATACAGATATAAATAATGGCACTGATATACTTGGTTCAGAGGTCTCATTGACAGTACTTTGCAAGCCAAGGTAGCGTGATGACTAGAATTGTGTGCTAGGAGTTGGGATTCCCACGATTCAGATCTCACTAGGTGGCCTTTGGCAGAACCTTAAGTAATAGTTACAAAACTTACAAGGTTGTTGCAAGGATTACTGAGATCATACATGCATAGTACTTCCAATGCACAAAACTCAATACCTGACAGTCTCACCAGTCAGTCCCCAGAGAGATACATTCATACGGAATTGGGGTTCCAATTACCAGAAATAATACAACCTCTACACAGTTGGGCAGATAGAGTATACTTGTTGCACAAATATATCCCATTCCATTACATTCCTGGGACCATTTTTACTAGTATAAGACCTGCAGGTCTTTTGTAAGGTGCATTTTTTTGTAAGCAGCGTTTGCCACTTTCTACTTCAGGGTGGTTCCCCTGGTTTGAGGAGCTTGGAGCTATATGCACCAGGAATGAGATACTCCAGTGTTAGCACAGGAGTGAGAACAGACCACAACTCCCATCATTCCTGACTACTGGCTCTGTTGGCTACGGTTGATTGGAGTTGGAATCCAACAACATTGGGCCACAGGATTCCCATCCCTGCTCTGCATATTCCGTCTTCTATATGAAGGGCATCCAGGCACTGTAAGGTTTGTAGCTGAGCTATAGCCAAGTCTTGATCTTGGCTTACTGGTTGTGATTTGAGGAAGACGAAAACCATGAGTCAAGGTTCACACTTAAAGCTAAGCCAGACCATGGCTTAGCTCCTGGTAATGCAACAGCAGCAGAACCAGGGAAGAAGTTAAAGCTGCTGCTGTGATTTTTGCTCAAGTAACCACAAACTTTATCATTCATGCTGAGCCATGGTTTTGACAGCGTTGTGTGTGAATTGGGACACTAAAACTAGCAGGTTTCTACTAATTTGGCCAGTAGCAGGCTGAGCTATGAAGTAGCAAGTCCCCAGTTTGAATCTTGCTTCTGCCAGTTTCATAATGTGGTTTCAGACAATCCATTTTGGCTGTAGCTTTTCCACTGGCAATAAGTTCTAAGGATTATAGCAAGATCAGGTATGTAAAATGCTTTGAACACTCTGTAGTGCAGTATAATGCTAAGTGTTACATGTGACATCCTTATCATACTTACATAAACGTAAGTTGCGCTGAAACCAATGTGACCTACTTCCAAGTAAAAGGATGCTAGTAGTGCTGAAGTGCTAGTATTTATTATTACTGTAGACATGCCACTAGATTGTCGACTTGTGTCAAGCCAGCTTCTGATCTTATTCCTTTTAACTGCGATTGTGTTATTGCACCATTGACTTTTGGGTATGTTTGGTTCAGGTGATGTGGCCAAAATTAGCTGGATCTTGTAAATCCAGACATCTGCATTGCTGATGAAGAAAAGTGCGTTTGGTGGGTTGTTTTTAGCATATGGTCTTTTTTTGTTGTTTACTGGAAGGATAGTTTTTCTCTGCTCGTCGTCTTCTTTTTTTAAAGAGCTGGCAGGATCTTGCTTCGCTTTTCCGTTTTCGGGGGTCTGGGAAGGCGTCTGCCCAATTCTGATTTGCTGAAAATCGCAGAGGGCTCGTCCTGGGTAGAGCCTCGCTGTGCTTGCTGCTGCTGCTGCTGACGCGTGGCTCTTGCTGCTGCAGCTGCTGCACGTCCTTGTGACGTGCTGGAAGCCGACTTGGATCCCGAGTCCCGGCTCTTCCTCTCCTCGCAGCGCTCTTTTTGACAAGGTACACAAGACCTCTGAGTCTTTGCGGTTGCTCGTTATTCCCGTGGTGTTTTGCGCGCGTTCTTTCTGCAAAGCGGCTCTGGGAAGGAGGGGAGGGAAAGGGGGCTCTCGAAGGCCTTCGCCTTCTGCTCGGATTGATCGAAGTCTCCCGTGAATCGCGATGCATGTTCTAGAAGCCATTTTTAAGTTAACAGTTGTCCGTGGTTGAACATTTCGCATGCACTCGGCCTGCAGAAGGGCGCCAAGCCGGGGCTGCGGGGTGGGCAGCTGCTCTCCTGGCGCTTCCTCCCTGGCGAGGAGCTGGCAGGCAGGGAAGCCGCTTCCCCGCGCCCCCGAGCGAGGGGCTGCTTTGTGGCCTTGGCCCCTGGTGGTCCCCCTGGTTGGAGGAGCTTGGAGATCTGAGTTAGGCGGGGAACTCGCTGTCTGCTGCATTTGCTAGCGCCGGCCAAGGTCTCCCTGCTGACTTAGGGAAATGAATGGGGGTAGGAGGAAGGGCGCTGCCGGGGGGGGGCAGGCAGCAGAATAAAGCAGTAACAGGCAATGGCCTGGGGCTTAAGTCGGAAAGGCACGGTCTGCCTTGGAAGCCGGGGAAAGGTATGCCTAGGCTGCAGCCGGGCGCCGGCGGAATGGCCGGGGGCTCGGTACGCGCGCGCGCGGGGGTGGAGGATGATGGAGCGAACGGGCAGCATTTGCAATCTGCGCGTGAGTTGACTTTGCTGCGACGGGGAGGCTGTGGCTCTGCAGTGCCTCCCCCTCCGGAGTTGCCTGGGGCTTATGAATTCTGGAAGAAGGGAGTCTGGGGCGGCTGGGGCAGGGCGCTGTCGTCTGGGCTTAAGACGAGCGAGAAGGGTTGCGGTGAGCGGGCGGAAAGGGGCGCTTGCATCGGGCTCAACGAGCATAGCAAAAACCTGCACAGACCGAGCCCAGGTACCGAGAAGCTTTTGTCCTTCCTGCCTGCGCTGCCCTTCCGTTTCACCGTGAGAGCTGGCTGCTTGGGGCTGCCTTGCTTACCTTCCTCAGCAGTGCCCGTCCTAAGAAGCGCGCAGCTGGATCAGGCCAGAGGCCCATCTAGTATCCAGCATCGGGCTGTCCCAGGGGCCATGCAGATGGTGCCTTTCCATGGGGCTTCGTGGCCTTGCCCCCTTTCTGTACAGCCTTTCATTTGACTCCTAGGAAATAGGATGCCCTGCCTGTCATACGTCTTCCGCCCCCACTACGCCTTCTCTTGGTGCCCAGGCGCAGCCGTGGGCGTCTTCTCGAGGTTGCCCCCTTCGCCCACCATGACTGGCCCGTTCCATTTCTTCCAGTATGGCAATATTGACCTTCCTGGCTGTGGTACTCTTTTATTGAGTAACGTTAGGGAGCCGAAAGGTGGAGGCACGTGGATGTGATGTATCTAAATAAATAAACACCCTCCCCACAACCCCCCCCCCCAAAACTTATCTAAACTTCGCTGGTGGTGGTTATGAAGCAGTTTTCGCATCAGTAGCAGGATGGCGTCCCAAAGTAGGGGAAGTGGCAACATTCCCCTCCCTTTCAACGCCATGTGGTCTGATGTAGCAGGTCTCCTTCTCGGCAGACTTTGTGGTGAGCACAAGATCGTGCATCCCTTTTCCTTCCTTACCTGCTGGGCCTCCTTCAACTTTGGGCGGTTAACTCCTTTGCAGAGTCTGCCGCAGGCGCGGGGAAAGAAGCTTCCGCCCTCAGCCCGTGCCTGGGAAGTGGCCTTGGCATCGTGCTATGTCTCGCCCCGCCTCGCCCGTGGGTTCCTGCTTGTTCCTTCTCTCCCCTCCCTCCTTCCCCACTTCGCCTCTCCCCAGCTCGTGGCTTCTGCAATGCGGTGGGTGTGGTTATATAGTAAATCGTAGCTCTGGACCTCTGCAGTGGAAGCGCTGTCTCCTCCTGCTCGCTCTCTCGCTCTCTTGCATTCCCAATCCCAAGGTTCCCTATGGCTGCATGTCTCTCGGCTGCAGAGTTGAGCTTAAAGTTGGGGAAGAAGAAGCTGCTGCTGCGAGCTTAAACGGAAAGATCGAGGGAAACAGCTGGTATTAATCAGACGTGTGCGATGGGGGAGGAAAAAGAGAGGCGCTGGGAGAGGGCTAGTTGAGTCGGGAATCAAGCGGAGCGCTTAAAGCGCTTAGATCGCGGGTTAGGCTTGGAAGTGTTACTTTCCTCGTTCCTAAGTGCTACTTTGAAAGAATGACTCAGTAGCTGATCACCACCGCTTACCTGACCGCAAAGTGGGGTGAATTCTACAGCCTGTGATGATGAAGATCCTCTTGATGCCAAGGGTTTGAGGACGGTGTAATGCATAGTGTAGTAGCAAGTAGAGAGAAGGGTTGGTATTTAAAGGGTGTGGTTCAGTTATCAAACTTTGTCGAGCATTTAAAACTGGTTTCATGTCCTATCTTTGAGCATGTGGGTGAAACTTGCAAGGAAGCTTGTTCTTGTTAAAAGACGTTAAAGATATCAACTGGGCTAGATTTTATTTTAAAATGCTTAAAAAATATTATTTCAATAATTTTTAAAAGTTACATATGCGATTTTTTCCTGTAGGTTGCTTCATTACCTTCTATGAAACATGTTTGTGTTGTTTGAATAGTGATTTTAGCTGATGTATAGTTAATATAGCTTAAATTTGTATTCAGAGGACTAATTTAGTTCTCTTCACATCAGTTTCATTGCAACTGAAAGCACATTTATTCTTGTTCTGGAAAAAGTAGCTTTGACTTTACCCTAGAGAAGTTTCATATTCAGTTGTTACTTAAAATATACATTTTTTAAAAAGAGGACTAGGATGAATCAAGGTGTGTACATGTAGGCAGCCTGATCTATTAAGTCATTGAAGTGTTTGGGACTTATTTCTGAGCAAAAATGTATAAGATTAGTTGCTGGTTCCCTAGTTTTATACTTCAGTTATCAAACTTAACTGGTGGTTTTTAATGTTTAAAAATACTTGTCACTCCGTTGTTCTATGTTGTTCTGTTTTACATAGGCTAAAAGGGAAATACTATGTTCTGCAAACTCAACTGCCCCAGATTCCTTCATTTAAAATGTATCATTGCATTTCAGTGTGATATTGGTACTCTGCTAGTAGTGATATTACAGAGCAGCCTTTTTACATTCCATGAAAAAGTAAGCCTAGTTGGTTTAATGGGACATACTCCCAGTTAAATGTATTTAGGATGTCAGTCCTAATCATGATCTTAATAACCACTGAATTGAACTGGAGCGCTAGAGTGGAAGTAAAATTGATACATCAGGATAAAGAGACAACCTATCCTGAAAAGAAACTGCTACAAGTTTATTTTTCTAGTTTCTACTTGACAGTGTGTCTGGCAGCATGGTTGCAACCTAGTGTGGTCATTATCCTGGTAATAGCAGTGGTCCATGGGTAGAAACAGCACGTCACCTTAAATACATTTTGGCATGGGTAGAAATAAATGTTTTGTCGTTAATTATATTAATGCCGCCAACACTCATATCACTTGGTTTTTGAACTAGCTCCCCATGAGGCCAGTGGATGATTTATAAAACTATCTGTTATTGCAGGAAGTGTCTGCCATGTTGTAAACTAACTTTGAGCGGACCTTAACTGCTGCTGTAGTCTAATGTTATAGGAAAAGAGGGTGGAGACACAGAAGTCTCTAGAATTGTAGCAATGGAGTCCCTATTGCTGCTTTGACCATGACATCACTTTGGCTCAAGGAAATGAGGGTGGGGCAGTGAGACAGTCTGTCTGAGCCATATTTTATCATAATACATAATGCTGAATAGATGTGACTACTGTTTCCCTGTTGGACATTCATTTGAAGGAGGGGCTATGAGAGATGAATGTGGAGTTTGTGCTTGCATATGTGTTTGCAAATAAAACAAGCTGAGTTGAAGACAAAAGGTCAAAGCGGTGTTCATTGCCCACGTACTTACAATTTTATTCCCCAAATTATAATTATGAAAATTTCATTGTTTGTTAAGGTATGTGGATTGGTAATGGGTTGAGTCAGCAAAGCTGTCCTTGAAGAATAGATGTTCAGCAACATACATGAATGTATTTCTCTTAACATTAATGTATCCACAACATTATTAAGATGAGAAGGTTGTCTGTGAAGACCATTGATGGGACAAAATACACTTACAAGATTATATGGTTCAGGCGAATGCACTACTGTATTATAAGTAAATAAGTAAGAAGTGCTGATACAGGAAGAAATTAGAGTATGTTTCAAATTCTGGTTGTGTTGTAACAGAAGTTTTATCCAAGCTGTGTGTGTCTGTGTGGTCAAAAATTATTATGTTTCTTAATATTTTCTATATTTTTGTTGGAAGCAGCCCGGACTGGCTGGGGCAACCCAGTCAGATAGCAGGGGTATAAGAAATTATTATTATTATTAGTAGTAGTAGTATTAATATTATTATTAGTAGTAGTAATGAATCAGTTGTTTTTTAAATACATTGCAGATATTGTTGTGCAACAACTCCAGTTAAATCAAGTGAACTCATGTCAATATGATTTCATGTGTAGGCGATCAGGCCAGTGCCTTAAGTTTAACAAAAGAGAGAAATAATTCAGTCTAATTGTTTCTGAAAGGAATCATGAACAAGTAAAGCAAGATGCCATGTGACTGCACACATAAATTGGTTTATTTTTCTACCAGAAACAAAAATACAACTTTGTAAATATGATTACATTCCATCTGTGTCTAGAACTGGGATACACTTATTTCACCAGAATGTATTACCTGTAGATTGATGGATTGCTTTTACCCAGCAATCGAAATTTGCCAGGCACATTTTGCACCTGGCTATCGACCACTTGCAACCAAGTGAAGATGTTTGGGTGCCTGGATGGTGCCTCACATCTCCACCACCTGGAAGTGCATGCCTGGGATCTTGCTTGTTTTCACATACCAACAGCATATCCTGTAGAATGTTATCTGTACTATTTTATCTGTACAATCCGAACAGATTTCAGGAACCCAAAAGTCTTTTGAGCCCTGTCGCTTAAAAATGGCAACTAGACATTCCATTTTGATGACTGTAACCCTTTAAGGAGCCATTTGACACCTAGTGCATATGTGTGTGTGTGTGTGTGTGTGTATTTGTATTGTATATATGAGTTTTTAACACTGCATTCACCAAAGAAATATGAGTTGTAAAAACATCCAAGAAATGTATGCTAGGAGGGATGTTGAGAGAAATGCTAACTGAAATTAATTTCTATAACAGGCTGCTCATGATTGCTCCTCTCCAGACTTTAGATTTTTAGTAGTTAAATTGACTCCTTAAAACATGCCTACTATTGTTAATATTATATAAAATATGTTTCATTAATTTTTTAACCTTTTACTTATCCAGTAGAAATGCTGATAGAATTATTTATGAAATATGCTTAATGTCTTCCTATCTTTAGACTGATTTTTGATAAATATGAGCTCTGATTTCACAAAGCTGAAACCAAAATAAATCTTACTGAATTTATTTCTTCATTCAATGAACAAAATAACTAGTATCGCAAGATATTGGGTATTCCTGTGGTCCAAAGACATAAAACTTAACACAGCATCTTTTGCTTTGTTTGTGGACATAAGGTCTGAAGATGACCTTTGTGGTTATTATTGGTAAAAAAAAAAACCCCAAAAAACCCTTGCTGTTTTCTGTAGTTCTCCAAGAGGAGAAACAGTGTAGAGTGTAGGAAGTGAGAGTCCGGCACATCTGAATAGCTTCCTCAAGGGAGATTCTGCAGGCTTTTTGTTCTGTCTCCTACCATGTTGTCACTATAGGCATGGGGGCAGAGGGACCTCTAGAGAAATGTAATCTGTTGGATTTCTGAGAAACTAAAATTTAGTTGTTTCAAGATACTTTGTCTCTGACCATTCAGTGTCTCCTTACCAATTACATATAGTCTGTCTCTTGAGGTTTGCAAATATGTGTAATCCTATGCATATTTGTTGGGAGGTAAATCCCATTGACCTCAAGGGCACGTCCAACTGAATAGCAATGAATAGGCTTGCACTGATCCAGCAAAAGTGTTGGACAAGATTTCTAGTTATAGATTGAAGTTGTATTTGATCTGAGATTTGAGATGAATATACAACTTGGCGTCTTGAGAAATATGAAATCTCCTAACTAACCACATGAAATATCAACAAAATATATAGCATGACTAACAGCATCTGAAAGAAAACTAGTTTTGGTATGACCATGGTTTCTCCCAGGCCTTGCTCTGTATAAAGTGAAATGAGATGGACAACCTGTCTTTTAGGTTTGAGAATCCCACATCAAAAGTAATATAGATGCTAATGGGATTGGCAACCATGAATGCATACAGAAAGATATGGCAGAGAGGACAATGACAAATGTAAAACAAAATGGTAAAATTTGCAGGCGTCATCTATATACACTTACTGCAAGTAGGCCTCAATGACTGCTGTGAGACTTGTTTCCAAGCATATCCATATAGGATTGCATCTTAAAGCTGCAATTTTAAGCACATTTATTAAGGAGCAAGTAACAGTGAAGTTAGATTTTTTTAAAAAAACCACAACCTTAATATCACGCTGTAAAACTAAAATATGTGTATCTGCCCTGTGGTAAAGTTTCTATGATGATTACAAATTTAAACTAGAATGTAGTATTCTCCACAGAAGATAAATCATGTAAAGTCTGTTCCCAGGTGTGAAATGTACAAATGTTAGGGGGAATGTGAGCTGAACAGCAAATGCACATAACAACTGGCCATTGTGTACATTCACAGTTTGTGGAGAATGTGCACATATGTCCACAAAGAAAGAATTGTACTCATTTCCCAGTCAGTATGCATATTTTCCAAGAGGCTTTGACCAATTTGTGTATCTTCCCAAC